AGGAATCATAATACTAAAGGCAGGGAGAAACACAGGAAGACTTCAATGACTTAACAGGGAATAACAATCAGGAATACAGCTAGCAAATGCATAGCAGCACAGGAAAACAGTCACAATGAACCAGCAATAAACAGAAGAAAAACAGTTTTTAAATATGCAATTAGCAAGGGCTGACAAGGGGATGGTTTGGGCCTAACCAAAACCAATCAGAAATGGCACAGGTCAACAAGAAACGGGTGGAATTAATTACAAATAACAAACACCAGTGACTAGGGAATAGTAACAACACAGAGGGCTAACAACACTAGGCGGAATCAAGGAACAGGTAAAACAGAACATACTAACCAAGGCACGGGCCGAGTAACCATCAACAAGACAAAACTGTATAGACACCAAAGGATAAAATAAAACCAAAAATAAAAGAGAGACAGCCTCAAACTCATGACCAGAGGATTATCAGCTTCCGAACCACACACTCAACCCACAGAGCTAAGTAGGGGCATGAGGAACAGCTTTGTGGTAGAAATTTCGTAGAAGTCGATTTGTTTAAGAGTCTGACAACACTTTATTACCGCAAAGCTTTGAGGGAACAGACACTCAGCAGTCTTTCATGCGTCTCGTGATCTGCTCCCCGAGCAACAACTGCATACCTCTTTTATAACAAAAAAATGCAAGTTTACAGACACTTAAGGAGGGGCTGGGTATCCTTGGACACCAGCTGCTTCTGCTCACAGGGGCCTGTTATCAGTTCCAGGCAAGATCAACCTGGTAGAAGCTGATTGGTGTTATGGTTTCCCAGCCCCACCTCGACAGGCTGTTTTCAGTTACTTTCTTCCAGTGTTGGGCAAGCTACTTGTAAAGTGTAGTGAGTTAAGCTATCAGTTACTCAACAATAAATTAAGCTTCACTACACAAAAGCTACCACCCATAGAAATATAGCAAGCTAAGTTACACAAATATGGCATAAATACATCAGAAGCTACTTCACGTTGTACCAACCTAATGCCAGATCAGTGCAAAATGACAGTCAGATACACGTTTAAGACATTTATTAAAGAACAACCCATGATTTAACACAGTGTAGACATTGCTTTAAGTGAAGCATCGAGACATAAATAAAAGCTTACTTTTGGGAATAAAACAAAAAAAAAGTTATTGGCCTACTACTAGGTAAACCAGTACTCTAGTAAACAAACTATTTAGTACCAAATGAAAGCTTCTATTTAGTGCTTGATGGGTAAGACATGGCTATAGGTTTAAACCAATCAATTTAAAATTTCTAGGGAAAAGAAAAACCATATTAACAGCCATCTTATTTCCTTAGGGCCTCCCTTAGTGAGAAAACTTCTTCAGACCCCAATTAAACAAGTCGATTGAAGTTACAAATGAACTTTGTGTTTAAGAACCGTGTTAAACTGTGTTTACGGACAGCATGCAACACCATGATTAATAAGCATGGCTCAGAGAGTGATCACTGGGACAATAGCAAATGAACTGGTCCAAACTGAAATGACAATCAAAGTCCTGAATTACATTTTTTAGTGCTGGGGGAATTAGGTCGAAGGGGAGGGGCAGGCGAGGGGAAGAGGGGTAATGGTGCATGGGTGGGCTCTCATTGTTCTAGCAAGTGTTTGTTTACATGGCACAAGAGAAGCTTTTCAAAAGTGGCATCAGTAAGGCGGTTTCTCTTTGGTCTGAAAATATCCTTTCCTACACTAAACAGTGTTTCACAGGCTGCACTTGCTGGCACCCCTGTGTTGTATCTATACTTTTTAATAATTAAGCTGGATGCATCATCAAATTGATAAAGCTGGATTCATTTTCATTACTTTTAAGTGTTTTTTTATTTATTAATTAGTTAAAACCCAGGACAGAATTTGGGCAAAGTCTATAAATAAATAAATACTGTAGCGCGGAGGCACCGGCGGCCAGCGCGGCATGTTGGACTGATGCCAGCTCGTAAATGGTTCTCAGTAATCGCTTGTGCACGGTGGGCAGTGCGAGTGTGAGGGTTATAGTAATACGGGTGTAATAAACGCCAACTGATGATTAAATCCCGAACTATCTCTGCTGTTTAATTATTGCGAGAATGGTTTTTTTCTTGTAGCATAAAACAATTACACAACATACAATTGCTACGAAAATTATTGTTGAAACGACACCTGTGATGATCCCACCACTGGAGCCACCTAAGGAACAGATACAATGTTACTTCAGTACATGAACACCATATACCTGTAGTACAATAAAACTAAAATATAAGAGTATTTCTGAGTGACTCACCTGGAAATAAATCCACTTCCTTCACAGTGACCTCCATCATACTCACAGGGTTGCTGAACACACATGTATAGCTTTTATCCAGCTTGTCACTCTTCTGAACAAATGTTGTGGCAACATTTGCTACCATCTCATTGTTCTCCTTCCAGGAGTACTTGGTATATGTGGTGTCATTTCCCTCACAGACCAAAGTACACTGGGTATTTTCGCAGATTTTCTTGACACTGGGTTTGGACACTGGTTCTGTAGATCGGCGTAAAGACACAATT